AGTAGAGACGGGGTTTCACCGTCTCTACTAAAACTACAAAACATTAGCTGGGCATGGTGGCGCGTGCCTGTAATCCCAGCTACTCAGGAGGCTGAGGCAGGAGAATTGCCTGAACCCAGGAGGCGGAGGTTGCGGTGAGCCGAGATCGCGCCATTGCACTCCAGCCTGGGTAACAAGAGCGAGACTCCGTCTCAAAAAAAAAAAAAAATGGATTTGGAAGAGATGGCTGTCATACTGCCTACACAATAGGCAGTAAAGTATGCTGCTGTAATACAGATGTTGGTATCAACATTTTGACCTTTTAATTGTACAGATGTGTTTTAATACACTCTTTCAAAGGTTAGACATAAGAATACTAATACTGGGATAATTCTAAATGTTGTGATAGCTGTGGAGACTGTCAGTGTCATTAAATAAAAACAGTACAAAATACATTATCATTTTTATTAGCTTTTGCATATAAAATAAGGAATTTGGGCTTAACTATGTTTCTAAATTTAGTGTTTCAAAATTTAATACTTTGCAAGGTAAAATTGTTATATAAATAATGTGCATGTCATGCTTTTTAAAAATATGATGTTATTGCTATAGCTTATGGTATTTGAAAAGGCAATCTTTTGGAACTGGATTTCTGGTTCAATTATTAATTTAGCAAACTATTATACTATATTCTATCATGAGCTTTTCTAGTTCTATAGAATTGCAAAATTTTTAATTAAAAAATTTAAGCAAAGCTAATTTGCACATAAAATTTCTTATGGAAACTAGCTATCTTACATTTTTTTTGTTTCTTGGTATTTCATACTTAAAATGTTGATCCACGTTTTAGTAGATATTCTTGCGTATGTCATTTTTATGTATAACATATGTACAATTTTCTAATAGAGTTCAATCTTTAAAAGCATAGGCTCTAAATTCAATGACTTGAGTTCACATTTCCACCCTACCACTGTTAAACTGTGGCAAGTAATTCATTTCTTTAAAGTAAACTCTAGGCCAGGTGCAGTGGCTCACGCCCATAATCTCAAGACTTTGGGAGGCCACAGTAGGTGGATCACTTGAGCCTGGGATTTGAGACTATCCTGGCCAACATAGTGAAACCCCATCTCTACAAAAAAGTAGAAAAATTAACTGGGCATGGTGGTGTGTGCCTGTAGTCCCAGCTACTCAAGAGGCTGAGGTGGGAAGATCACTTGAGCCTGGAAGGCAGAGGCTGGGGTAAGCCAAAATCATATCACTGCACTCCATCCTGGGCAACAGTGAGACCCCTATCTCAAAAAAGTTAATTAAATTCAGTTCCTCATTAGTAAAATGGGAATGAAAGTAATTCTTGTACAGATTTAGGAGATAATTTACAGAGTCCTTAACACAACAACTGGACCAAATACATACTTGTTGAATGAATAAGTAAATGCCATTCTTTGTTGTGTATAAACCTGCAACTATTTTTTGAAACTTTGATTTGTTATTAATGTCAACTTGGGAGTCTGCTTTAAATCCCAGGTGAGGGGATAGTTACTTCCTGAACATGGCTGTATTTTTCAAATACTGTTAGTGACTACTTGATAAGAATGGTAAAAGGCAATCTTGAGATTGTATACTATTCTGTTTTTATTGGTACAGATTCGGATGCTATTCAAGGTTATTGGCTATAATGGGCAGGGAGGAGGACCTAGCAGGACTTGAGGTCTGTGTGACTATTTCAGTTTTTGTTTGTTTGTTTTTGAGACAGAGTCTCACTTTGTCGCCAGGCGCCAGGCCGAAGTGCAGTGGCACAATCACGGGTCACTGCAACCTCCACCTCCCAGGTTCAAGCAATTCTGCCTCAGCCTCCTGAGTAGCTGGGACTACAGGTGCATGCCACCACACCCAGCTAATTTTTGTATTTTTAATACAGACAGGGTTTCACCATGTTGGCCAGGATGGTCTCGACCTCTTGACCTCGTGATCTGCCCACCTCGGCCTCCCAAAGTACTGGGATTACAGGCTTGAACCACTGCGTCCAGCCAACTATTTTACATTCTTAAAAAAAAATTCTTTTTTTTTTTTTTTTTTTTTTGCTATTCAGTGCCTGAAAAACAGCTGATTGATATTGAAGATTGTGACCTCAATGTGGTGAGACTGTGTTTTCAAGTTTTCCTTCCTGATGAACATGGTAATTTGACAACTGCTCTTCCTCCTGTTGTCTCGAACCCAATTTATGACAACCGTAAGTACTTCATTTTCTTGTATTTGTAGTTTTAACTTGTTTTTTGTAATAGTTTAATTCTTAAAAGTATTTTGGTAATTAGAAAAACAATATATTTATGATAGGAAAACTTCCAGATGTTACAGAAATATTATAACAGAGAGTAAATCTCTAATCTCATCCTCCAGAGATAATCACTATCCTTAGGTGCATATTTTACCAGTTTCTTGTTCCTATGTATACACAAATACACTGTCATCATCATTTTTGACATAGTACAATTTTGGCAACCTAAAAAAAATCATAAGTGGTGATTGTTTTAAAAATTAACTTTCTTCTTACCATGTATCTTGAACATTTTCCTTTCAGTCACCTTATCCGTTTCAGTAGCAGCATATTTCATTATATAGTTATATCATAATTTTATTAATTACCCTCTTACAAGACATTCATTTTGTTTCTTTTCTCATTTTTTATTTTTGCCCTAACTGTACTGCAATACATATTCTTGTATATGGTTTTTTTTTAGGGGCTTGTTTTGTTTTGTTTTGTTTTTGAGGTGTAGGGTTTTGCTTTGTCACTCAGGCTGGAGTGCAGTGTACAATCGTGGCTCACTGCATGGCAAATGCTGGCTCAAAGGATATGGATATATCTAATTTTAGAAGATTATGAAACTTCCCCCCAAAATGCTCTGTGTGTGTGTGTGTGTGTGTGTACACAGGCATCTATATATACATCCACCAGTGGTGTATGGCTATACCTGTTTTACATGTAGGGTAGTGAGACATAGGTCTATAAAGGTAGATCAGAGTATCCTTAACATGGAGAGCTTTAAATGCCAGGGATAATTATTATAATCTTATGGCCAGATAGTAGGAAGCATGAAAGTTGTATTGCCATAAGGAGATGTATTGCCATAGGGAAAATTGTATTGCTGTAGGGATATGGCCATGATTTATGAAGATTAATCTGGTGACAATTGTGTAGGATTGATCGGCAGAATCAGAATTTAGAAGCAGGGAGCTTTAATTAGAGAATATGTCATTACCTAGAAATGAAGTCACAAGTCTAAAGTAAAGCAGTTAGAAAGGAAGTGGACAAATATGGATGATTAGTGTATTTAGCGTCCTTTATTTATACACTAAAACTTTTATTCTATAAATCCTCAAATTCTTCCATTCAAAAAGGAATAAAATATTATATAGCAACTCATTTTTTTTGAAAATCCTTTATATTTAGGTGCTCCAAATACTGCAGAATTAAGGATTTGTCGTGTAAACAAGAATTGTGGAAGTGTCAGAGGAGGAGATGAAATATTTCTACTTTGTGACAAAGTTCAGAAAGGTATTTATTTATTTCATTCAATTTGGAATAAAATTTAGATTAATAGATGCAGTTACTTTGTTTTCCCATTATTATTTCTTTTGTTTCTTATTTACTAGATGACATAGAAGTTCGTTTTGTGTTGAACGATTGGGAAGCAAAAGGCATCTTTTCACAAGCTGATGTACACCGTCAAGTAGCCATTGTTTTTAAAACTCCACCGTATTGCAAAACTATCATAGAACCTGTAACAGTAAAAATGCAGTTGCGGAGACCTTCTGACCAGGAAGTTAGTGAATCTATGGATTTTAGATATCTGCCAGATGAAAAGGGTATGACATTATGCTGGTAATAATTTATATATTTCTCAAAGTGGTCCTACTAATAACATCTTCTTGTAAGATTCATTTAAATACAGCTATGTATATTCATAATTTGTGTTTCTTTTCCTGGAAGCCTTCCATTGGTTTTTTTTCTTCATGCTCTTTGCATCTCATTTGTTGGTTTTTTTTTTTTTTTTTTTTTAGACTGAGTCTCACTCTATCACCCAGGCTAGAGTGCAGTGGTGCAATCTCAGCTCGCTGTAACCTCTGCCTCCCGGGTTCAAGCAGTTCTGCCTCAGCCTCCCAATTAGCTGGGACTATAGGCACGCGCCACCACACCCAGCTACTTTCGTGTTTTTATTAGAGATGGGGTTTCACCATGTTAGCCAGGCTGGTCTCTGCATTTCTTTCTTAAGAAAGAGGTTTGGGCCAAGCTCAGTGGCTCACGCCTATAATCCTAGCACTTTGGGAGGCAAGGTGGGTGAATCACAAGGTCAAGAGATGGAGACCATCCTGGCCAAAATAGTGAAACCTCATCTCTACCAAAAATACAAAAATAGCTGGGAGTGGTGGCATGCACCTATAGTCCCAGCTATTTGGGAGGCTGACGCGGGATAATTGCTTAAACTTGGGAAGGAGAGGTTTCAGTGAGCCGAGATCATGCCACTGCATTCCAGCCTGGCGACACAGCAAGACTCTGTCTCAAAAATAAAAAAAGAGATTTGATTAGTATGGAATAATTTCAAAGTATCTAAACTTCTTAGTAAAATTTCTATTTTATTTTTGAAGGCCTATTTTTATCCTTGTGCACTTACCACTCAGAGAGTAGTTTCTATATTGACTTCTTATCCAACCTTACTGCATTAGTTGACATTATTGACTTGTGTGATAAGAAAACAAGATGAATATTTTAAACTGTCTGTCTTTTTTTTTTTTTTTTTGAGACAGGGTCTCACTCTGTCGCTCAAGCTGTAGTGCAGTGGCATGATCATGGCTCACCAGAGCTTCAACCTCCCAGGCTCAGGTGATCATCCCACCTCAGCCTCTGGAGTACCAGGGACTACAGGTGTGCACCACCACACCAGGCTAATTTTTGTGGGTTTTGTTTGTTGGTTGGTTTGAAATGGAGTCTTGCTCTATCTTGACCAGGCTGGAGCGTAGTAGTATGATCTCAGCTCCCTACAGCCTCTGGCTCCCAATTCAAGCGATTCTCCTGTCTTAGCCTCCCGAGTAGCTGGGACTACAGGCATGTGCCACCACACCCAACTAATTTTGTATTTTTAGTAGAGACGGGGTTTCACCATGTTGGCCAAGCTGGTCTCAAACTCCTGACCTCAGGTGATCCACCCTCTTCAGCCTCCCAGAGTGCTGGGATTACAAGCATAAGCCACCGTGCATGGCCAATTTTTGTATTTTTTGTGGAGACAGGGTTTTGTCATGTTGCCCAGGCTGGCCTCAAACTCCTGGGCTCAAGTGATCCACCTGTCTTGGCCTCCCAAAGTGCTGGGATTACTTTAAACAATTTTTTACTAAGAGAAAAATATCCTTTACTACTGATAGTACTGATTTGGGACATATTCTATAATACTTATTAGATCCAAATTATATACATATTTATTGAAAACATTTTCTATATGTGAATAAAATACTTGTTTATTAATGGAGAGTTTAATTTTTTACCTGCTTTCCTGGTTTCTTTCTAATCAGATACTTATGGCAATAAATCAAAGAAACAAAAGACAACTCTGCTTTTTCAGAAACTGTGGCAGGATCATGGTAAGAATATTTTGAATTGATTCATATTTAAATAGGTTTTGTTTTATTTGCTTTATTTAGTTTTTCAAATTTTATTTTTGTTTTGTTTTTGTTTAGTAGAGACAGGGCTGTCTTTCACCCAGGCTGGAGTGCGGTGGGGCAATCTCAGCTCACTGCAACCTCCACCTCCCAGGTTCAGCAATACTCCTACCTCAGCCTCCTGAGTAGCTGGGATTACAGGCATGTGCCACCACACCTGACTAATTTTTAGTATTTTTATTAGAGGCGGGGTTTCACCATGTTGGCCAGGCTAGTCTCGAACTCCTGACCTCACATGATCCACAACCTTGGCCTCCCAAAGTGCTGGGATTATAGGCGAAAGCCACGACCCCTGGCCGGATTTTCGAATTTTAACTGATAGTGTTATTTTTCAAATTATATTTAATAATGGAAAAACTTTATCCTAACAGGTAATTTTCCTGAGAGACCAAGACCTGGTCCCCTTGGATCAATTGGAGAAGGAAGATACATCAAAAAAGGTATTTTATTTCCTATAGCATATTTCTTGTGATCAGAAAGACCAGAGCTTGGCACAATATATTGGAATTCTGTATTTAGGAATGAATAACTGCTTTTTTGAAAATTTTCTCTCCTTCAGATTTTTCTTGGTTTCAGTATAGAATGAATTGAACATGGCTTCTGAAGGTTGTGTTAGAAACAGATTGTGTTTTTGGGATTTATTGTTCAAGAAATAACATGCCTTTTATACAGTAGCAATTTTATTAATTACATCATGTTATGGAAAAAATGTTATTGATTTGGTTAGTTACCAATTTTTATAAATAAAATTTTACTGGAACATGGCCATGAATATTTGATTAAATACTGTCTCTAAACTGCTTTTTTAACACCATGGCAACAGAGTTGAGAAGTTCCAACAGAGGCTGTAGATAGCTCACAAAGCCTAAAATATTTACTATCTGACTTTTTCTTTTTTTTTTTTTTTTTTTTTTTTTTTGAGACGGAGTTTTGCTCTTGTTTCCCAGGCTGGAGTGCAATGGCGCGATCTCGGCTCACCGCAACCTCCGCCTCCTGGGTTCAGGCAATTCTCCTGCCTCAGCCTCCTGAGTAACTGGGATTACAGGCACGCGCCACCATGCCCAGCTAATTTTTTGTATTTTTAGTAGAGACGGGGTTTCACTGTGTTGACCAGGATGGTCTCGATCTCTTGACCTCGTGATCCGCCCGCCTCAGCCTCCCAAAGTGCTGGGATTACAGGCTTGAGCCACCGCGCCCGGCCTACTATCTGACTTTTTACAGGAAAAAAAATTGCCAATCCCTAGTTTAGATAATTCTACCAAGGGCTAATGGGCTAATTAGAAGTCCTTTCTACCCCCTCTTACATTCTTAAATCAGTGCTTTTTCCTGGTTTAGGTTATCAAGCATTTGTATAATATGTAAATAAATAGAGAATTAATTTTTTCTGACTGTGAATTTTATAGTCTCTTAGGATTGTGTCATAACATATCTTAAAAGTTGTGTATTTTCTTATTATCCCTAATGAGTGTTTTCTCCATCCTTCCATTTTCTCCTAAAAGTGGAGAGTAAGAGATGATTTTGGCTATTTGGAGTCCCATTAATTATAATTCTAATATTTATCTTCCAGTTTTCAAAAATACATTTATAGAGCCTCAGAAGCTAGATTTTCATTTAACTGGAGTGAAAGTACATAATGCCAAAGTAACTTGCCAAAATCATTTTACCTGTATTTGTAAATGGTATATATTACAGAATTTCATTTTGGATTTGTGTAATAATTTTAGTGCTTTTTACATATTTTTATTTGAAATGTTACATTGGTTTCCTTGACATTTTTTTGTGTGTTTATTTGTGTGCATATGCAATTTTAATTTAGAAATAATACTTTTTATAATTTTGTTTAATTTTGTAAAATAAATTTTTCCTCCCACAGAACCAAACTTGTTTTCTCATGGTGCAGTTGCGACAGAAATGCCCAGACCTACAGGGGTTTCAAATCAAGCAGAATCCTACTATCCCTCACTTGGGCACATCTCAAGTGGATTGTCACGTCATGCCTCAATGCCACCTCCGCCTTCTTCAAGCTGGTCATCAGTGGCCCACCCCACCTCACGCTTAGTCAATACAAATCCACTGAGCAGTTTTTCAACAGGGACACTTCCTTCTAATTCACAAGGTATCCCACCATTCCTGGGAATACCTGTTGAGAATGATTTAAATGTTTCTAATGCTTGCATTTATAACAATGCTGACGACATAGTCGGAATGGAAGCATCATCCATGCCACCAGCCGATTTATATGGTATTTCTGATCCCAACATGCTGTCAAATTGTTCTGTGAATATGATGACAACCAGCAATGATAGCATGGGAGAAACTGATAATCCAAGACTTCTGAGCATGAATCTTGAAAACCCCTCATGTAATTCAGTGTTAGACCCAAGAGACTTGAGACAGCTCCACCAGATGTCCTCTTCCAATATGTCAGCAAGCGCCAATTCCAATACTACTGTTTTTGTTTCACAGTCAGATGCATTTGAGGGATCTGACTTCAATTGTGCAGATAACAGCATGATAAATGAGTCGGGACCATCAAACAGTACCAATCCAGACAGTCATAGTTTTGTTCAAGGTAGTCAGTATTCAGGTATTGGCAGTATGCAAAATGAGCAATTGAGTGACTCCTTTCCATATGAATTTTTTCAAGTATAACTTGCAAGATTTAAATCCTTTTAAGTCTTGGTATCACCTGTGTAGATGCAGCATTTTGTATTTGTCTGACTGGGAATATAATACTGTATTTGAGAATATAAAAAAAAATTTTTTTCAGGGAAGAAGCATGCAGCTTGGGACGTAGTGAACACAAAATTGGAAGCTGTCATAAAAAGACAACTCAGAGACTGGGCATAGGAACTTATGCCTGTAATACTAGCACTTTGGGAGGCCTAGGCGGGTGGATCACTTGAGGCCAGGAGTTCAAGACCAGCCTGGCCAACATGGCGAAACCCCGTCTCTACTAAAAATGCAAAAATTAGGTGGCCATGGTGGTGCACACCTGCACTCCCAGCTACCTGGGAGGCTGAGGCACAAGAATTGCTTGGACCCAGGAGGTGGAGGTTGCAGTGAGCTGAGATCTCACTACTGTACTCCAGCCTGGGTGGCAGAGTGAGACTCCGTCTCAAAAAAAAATGCTTTTTTATATTTCTTTTTATAATGTTTTAATGTATTCTTAAATTTCAAGCAAATTTAAGATAAAACTTGTAATGGCTATGCCATTGAAAAACTTAATTTCTTATATTTGAGGCCCATGGGCCAAGGTAACCCCTAAGGGGTTTTCTTAGGCTTCTTGGAGTTTCTTAGGTTTGTATGTGTATCAGAATGTCTTTAAAGTGTTAAGTTGGGCAGAAGGCAGTTGAAGTGAGCTTTCAAGGTATGGGAGGTTTTCTACATTGTATACTATTTCAATCTATGCCTTTAAACTTACTTATGGTTTTAGCTTTACACTCATATTTTTTAAGGGGAAAACGTTTCCTTGGACCATTCTCCTTTCTTAAGTGTCCTCGCTCCCTGTGATCTCATAAAACTGCCTATTTGACATCTTTACCTAGAAATCGAATTAAAGCTCACACTCACCATATCCAAAACTGAATTCTTGGTCTTCCCTCCCAAACTTGCTTCTCCTTCAGTCTTCCCCAACTTAGTAAATGGCAATGCCATGCTTCTAGTTGCTCAGGCCAAAAATCCTGGAGTCATCCTTTATTCTTCTTTTAGTTCCCATATCCAATACATTAGCAAATCTAGTAGACCCTACCTTCACAACAGCTAAAGCTGACCACCTCTTTTGACCTCTGCTGTTAACACCCTTTTCCAAGCCACCATCTCTTCCCTGGATTAAAGGTATCATCTACAAAACTTCTCCTTATATCCTTGAATTCCTACAGTCTGTTTAAAGTAGCCAGAGTGATTATTTTAAAAATAAGTCAACTCATTCCATTCATCTGCTCAAAACCATCCAGAGGCTTCTCATCTCAGAGCAGTCAAAGTCCTTAAAAGTAGCAGGCCTAGACTCCCTGTCCTACCTCAGGTTCTGCCATTTCCCATCCTCATGCAGCTCCAGGCACCTTGACCTCAGTGCTCCCCTTCAAAGCATCAAGTATGCACCTGCCCTGGACTCTGGTACTTGGTATTCCCTCTCCCTCGAATGTTCTCTCTCAGAAAAATTCATAGTTCATTCTTTTATATCCTTCAGGTGTCAATCCACTGTTACCTGAGCAAGGTCTTCCTTGGCTATATGTACATCAGCATTCTCTGTCCCCCCTGCTTTATGTATGTCCATAGCACTTACCATGATCTGACTTTACTAAGCATTTATTTGTTTATTGTTTGTTTTCCTATACCGGAATATAAGCTTTCTAAGGACAGCAGTTTTTGTGCTTTATTGTTGAATCTCCAATTTGTAGAAAAATGCCTGCCTTATATTAAACAGTAAATATTTATTGAACATTAAAAGTATTACTAATAGAACTTTGGTTTTTGAAAGAAATATTAACTGTAATTATAAGACGTATATGATTTTTGCAGTTTTACTTAGTGTGACATTGGGTTTATGAGAATCATGTACATTCAAGTCCAGGAATAATAATGGTCATCCAAATTGTTTGAAAGCAAAATAATCCCAGTGGCAAAATGATGGTAGAATTTGAGTAATCTTTTTTTTCCTTTTATGAAAAGAGATCTTATGCTTTTAGTTTCTGAGGCACTTTTCTGAACTCTACTTGTGCACTGAATTCCTCTTCCTTTCTCTCCCAGCCTGTGTTTACTTTATCCTCACATCGTCATTTAGTGCTTCCTTTCTTTGTATAAACATGGTAAATGTCTTCATTAGACTAAAAGGAAAGACCAAAAAAAACAAACAAACCTTTCCCACCACCTGCATGACACTTGACTTTGCATCCTGACTTCTGAAATGCCTCCAACCTCCATTTTCTCCCTTCCCAGTCATTCCTTAGCCCAGTGATCTCTATCTTTAACTCCTACAATTTTCTTATGATATTCTGGGAAAGATGAGCTGAGACTGCCCACCTTGTCAAATCTCACGTCTTTTATCAGTCCTCACACTGCTTGACCTATTGATAACCTCCTAGACTTCCCTCTTTGGACACTCCTCTGGGTGTTCTGTGGTAGACAGGATTCCTCTCTGAGACTTATTTCCCAAGAGTCTCGACCCCTCCCCTCATTTGGTGCTATTTTCCCCCCTGGATGATCTTATCAGAGCCCACAGCTTCAGTTTTCACTCATGCCACCTGAATGCCCTGATAAACTGACTCCCCGTCTTGCATTCTTTACCTTCCTTATAATGGCATTACCATTTACCATGCCATTCAAGATACTAGGAACCTCAAAGTGTTGTATTCTTTTTCTGTCATTCATACTTAATCAAGTCCTTTTGAGCTTGCTTCCTCTTGCTGCTTTCTTAGTAAAGGCCTTCATTCTTTTTCCCTAGTAATAATCTTTTCCATATGTTCCAGTTAAAATACCACGTTCACCCTAAGCCTTATTACATAGTTAGCATTCCTTGAAAGAAAACAATTCTCTCAGGCCTTCATACCTGTAACATGTTACCCACTCTGCCCCTGCTCTTCTGCAACTAGAATACTCATCCTTGAAGACTGGGCTTCTCTATGAAGCTTGGTCCTGCCTCCCAGGTTGAGGCGAAGCTTTGTACATGCCTGTATTATGGATATCCTCTCATGTAAGTGTTTGTCTCATTCGTATTTAGGACTCCAGCACCGAGCATAGTCCCCAGTATACTAGTTGGTGCTGAATAAATGGTAGCTATTATTAGAGAAGGACGGATAAAATTAATGAATAAATGGTAGCTATTACTAGAGGAGGAAGGATGAAATTGACATAGGAGTGATTATTACAATATACATGGAAATGATTTTTAAAGGAAAAGGTAATGATTTTCTGGCAGGAAAAACAGCAATGCCAAGATTACTTAAGTCTTGTGAAATACACCTCTGTTCCTTGACCTGCCACTCCCCTTTTTACCACACACACACACACACACACACACACACCCCACAGCCCTTTGAGATTGAAAGCAGCTCTATTGAGAATCGTAGTGTCAACTGTATTATGTAGAAATTTTAAAGTTTTTAGGATTATTTCATAGCCCTGACCTTGCTACTTCTCTCCACTTTATGTGGCAGGTTTAATCTCAAATCTCCCTCATATACTTCTCAGCCTCAGCACCTTACCCTTATACAGACACTCCAGTATTGTAGTAATCAATCTTAATATCACATTTTTTGAATTTCTAATGTGCAAAGAAAGCACCATGTTGAAAATGATACAGAGGTGAATAAGACAAAAACTCTTGCTCTCAAAGATGTCAGTCTTTTTCTTTGCAAGGATAATACATATAAAGTAAAATGCATAAAGTGGACTAATTTTAAATGTACAGCTTAATGAATTTTTATTTATGTTAACACCTATGTCACCACCATGTTTAGGACATTTCCAGTACCCCAGAAATTTCCTTTATGACACTTCCCAGTCTGTACCTATACCTCTAAAATCTTAATGGCCTTTTAAATAACTGGACCTCTCACAACTATAGTGAACAGAAACAGCTAGGTTGTCATCTTCTAACCTAATACTTCAGGAAAACTCATGATAGTTCCATTTTAAGAGTTCTTGGAGCTGGGCATTGGGCATGGTGGCTTACGCCTGTAATCTCAGCACTGTGGGAGGCCAAGGTAGGAGGATTGCTTGAGGCTAGGAGTTCAGCCCGCCTAGAACTTCTTATATAGGAACTTCTTATATTTAAGAAGAACCTGTCTCTGCAAAAAATAATTAAAAAAATGGCCAGGCATGGTGACATGTGCCTATGGTCCCAGCTATCGGAGGCTGAGGTGGGAGAATTCCTAGAGCCCAGGAGGTTGAGGCTATAGTGAGCAGTGATTGCGCCACTGCACTCCAGCCTAGGCAAGACCCTGTCTCAAAAAAAAAAAAAAAGACTTGGAATTGGTGATCCAGCCTGCCTAGTAGCCTCAAATAATTTGTTATATCTTTAGTTGATTTATTGAAGGATCATCACATACTATTAAATAGCCTGGAGAAATGGAAAGAATAGGAACTTTTTAGTCAGGTAATACCCAGCCCACTACCTCACAGGTTGTGTTGTGCTAAATAAAACGGTACATAAGAAACACTGTAAATTATGTAGTGCTAATCATGTTGTTAATAAACCAATATTTGTATATTCTGTGGCCCTGATTAATCTTTAATTCAGACACTCCTTTTAGTCACCTAGTACAGAGAAGAGTGAGAAAAATTGTGGATTCGATTCTTTAGTAAGAAACCTGAGATGGCTTTCTCATTAGAATAACTAGTCATTGCCCAGATCTGGAGAGCCTTATTTTGGCCTTATTTTTACAGAACCATTTCCTATTGATTAGTGAAGGTGTGGCCAATTTTAATGACTTTAGTTCTAAAATTTTGTGACTCCTAATTTATTTGTAAAAGTTGGTTATGAATTGAGAGTGGTTTGACTTTTCCTAAAAGTGAATCTCAGCTAATGAAGTTAACCACTGAAAGGTTTCTCATCTGTTTTGTTTTCACACATTGACTATGAAAGGGGAAAAATTAGAATGCTTTTTGTATCACATGTAACAGGAAATGTATCATTTATTATAAGCCCAGAAATAGGTGACTAATCAGAGATAAATTTATGGGTTGTCTGTATCTAGTTTTATACCTTTTTTGTCTAAGACCTAGTCAAATTAATACTTTAATAAGTCTTAGCAAAGTTTAGTTCAGCACAAGGTTAACAGTGGGTAAGATAGAGTTTCGAAAGTAATCATGTCTGTAATATTTTTCATGCATGCAAAAAGCACAGACAAAACCACTCATGCCCTATTAATAAACAAAATACAGATCAAAATTTTAAAAAGTAATCACTCTGTTTATTCTAAATGTCTATGGCTTTAGGAAAAATAGCACCTGCTAGTACTTATTTAAAGATGTAGAATTTATCATCCTCTAATATTCTTATCACTTGTTTCTACAACTTTAGTTTACAACTGGACTTTCAAAAATTTAAAGATTTACAAGTAAAATTAATTAAACACCTGTGTGTGACTAGTAATACACAGTAGTTAGTACAGAATGTTACTTCTTCAACAAATTGAGTTTTCAGGGAAATCAGCAAGTAAATGAAATACAAATTTTTGGTAAAAGTATCAAACATTCATCTTGCCCATTTTTCCTCTTAAACTGAATATTATCTAATCAAAACATAGTTTTTCATAAGATGTAATAAAATATAGATAAGGTTGGAATATTTGGGGATCCATTTGTGGAACTGAATTTCATGAGACTTCATTGGTGATACACTCGATTTTTACTGGGTAATTAGCTGATAATGTTGGTCACTGTCGCACAGTTCAGGTAGCTGTAAGATGATGTGGCAAGGAAAACAAAGCTTTTGGGTAACGAGCATTCTTAAAGGCACGGTTTGGACCAGGCGAACCCTTTAGAAGTGAACTCTGTTTTACAAGTATGTACTTAAAATACCTTTGGCTGTGATGAATCTAGATCCCAGCAGAATACCAAAATTCTATTTTTTTGGCTGAATATTTGTATATGCTTTATGACTGAAATGAATTTGGAGGCACTGATGAAAGTGATTTTTTAAAAGTTCTCAGGTACTGTTCAATTATTTAATGTTAGGTTTAGTATCAAGATGCAATTGTTTTTAAAATGCTAATATGCCATCTATTATACAGAATATTTTATTACCTTTGTAATATCTTTGTATACAGTGATTTTTTTCTTGGTAATATAATAAATGGAAAAAATTCTAAAACACTTGCTAAAATTTTGTTGCTATTTGACTTTTAAAATATCAATCAGATTTCTTCATTTTTATAGCATCTTCCTAACATGAAAAGGTAGTTTTGGTTGCTTAGAAACATCAGGCAATTTTTTATGGAATGCTGTTGCTGAATATGGTTGCATATGTAACTGTCCTTTGAAATGATAATTTTATAGAGTACTGAAGTGCCTTTTTAAAGATTTTTTTTCTTTTTTCCTTTTTTGGCTTAACCAAAAATCTGTTTTCAGAGGCTGAAAGTCTGAGATCGGGGGTACCAGGATGGTTTCTGCTGAGGCTCTCCCCCTGGCTTGCAGATGGCTGCCTTCCCACCATCCTCACATGGTGGAAAGACAGAAGGATAGAGATCTAGGGTGTCTCCTCTCTTTTTTGAGACAGGATCTCGTCCTGTCACCCAGGCTGGAGTGCAGTGGCACGATCTCAACTCACTCTGCCTCCTGGGCTCAAGAGATCCTCCTGCCTCATCCTCCCAAGTAGTTGGGACTACAGGCACATGCCACCATGCCCGGCCAATTTTTGTATTTTTGGTGGAGAAAAAGTTTCGCCGTGTTACTCAGCTGGTCTCGAACTCCTGGCCTCAAGTGATCCACCCACGTTGGCCTCCCAAAGTCCTGGGATTACAAGCATGAGTCACCATAGCTGGCCTGGCCTCTTCTTTTCTTAAATCTTTTTTTTTTTAATTGACAAAACTGTATATGTTAATATTTATCTTGTACAACATGATGTTTTAAAATATGTATACATTGTGGAATGGCTGATTAACATTACTTCACATAGTTATTTTGTAATAACACTAAAATCTATTCTTAGCAACTTTCAAGAATATATATGTTATTATCTATAGTCACCATGTTGTACAGTAGATCTCTTAAACTTACTCCTATCAAGCTGAAATTTTAAATCCTTTGACCAACACCTACCTCCCCAATCTCACAACCCCATCCCAATCCCACCTCCCCAGTTCCAGTAACTACCATTCTATTCTCTACTTTTTTTTTTTTTTTTTTTTTTTTTTTTTTTTTTGAGATGGAGTCTTGCTCTGTCACCCAGGCTAGAGTACAGTGGCATGATCTCAGCTCACTGCAGCCCCTGCCTCCTGGGTTCAAGCAATTTCCTGCCGCAGCCTCCTGAGTAGCTGGAACTACAGGCACTTGCCACCACACCTAGCTAATTTTTGTATTTTTATTAGAGATGGGGTTTCACCATATTGGCCAGGCTGGTCTTGAACTCCTGACCTCATGATCTGCCCACCTCAGCCTCCCAAAGTGCTGGTATTACAGGCATGAGCCACCATGCCCGGCCTCTACTCTACTTCTCTGAGTTCAACTATTTTAGATTCCACATGTAGGTGAGATCATGAAGTAGTTGTCTTTCTGTGCCTGACTTATTTCACTTAACATAATGTTCATCAGGTTCATCTATGCTGTTTCAAATGACCGGATTTTCTTTCTTATGTGTGAATAATATTTCATTGTACATATACACCACATTTTCTTCATTTATCTATTGATAGATGCATAGGTTGATGCCATATCTTGGCTATTGTGAACAATATTGCAGAGACTATGGAAGTCAGATGTCTCTTCAACATAATGATTTTATTTCCTTGGGATACATATACCCAATAGTGGGATTGCTGGATCATAGGTAGTTCTATTTTAAATTTTGTTTTCTGTTTTTTCCATACTAGCTATACTAATTTACATTCCCACTAACAGTGTGCCAGCAGTTCTGTTTACTCCATATCCTAGCCAACACTTGTTATCTTTCATCTTTTTTGGTAATAGCCATTCTAATAGTTTTGAGGTGGTGTCTCACTGTGATTTTAAATTTGCATTTCCCTGATAAGTGATGTTGAGCATTTTTATGTCTTATACTTTTTGGCCATTTGTATGTCTTTTAGAAATGTCTATTCAGGTCCTTTACCCATTTTTTAATCAGGCTGTTTGTTTTCTTGGTATTGAGTTGTTGGAGTTCCTTGTATATTTTGGATATAACCCCTCATTAGATGTATGGCTTATAAATATTTTATCCCATTCTGTAAGTTGTCTCTTCACTCTATTGATTGTTTCCTTTGCAGTGCAGAAGCTTTTGTTTGATATATTCCCATTTGATTTGTCTATCTTTTTTGTTGTTTTGTTGTTGCTGGTGCTTTTAGGGTCATATTCATATAATTGCCCAGACCAGTGTCATGGAGCTTTTTCTCTACGTTTTCTTCTAATAGTTTTACAGTGTGGGGTCTTAGAATTAGGTCACTTTGAGTTTTGTTTTGTTTGTCTGAGACGGAGTTTCACTTGTTGCCCAGGCTGGAGTGCAATGGTGCGATCTTGGCTCACTGCAACTCCTGCTTCCCGGGTTCAAGTGATTCTCCTGCCTCAGCCTCCTGAGTAGCTGGAATTACAGGCGCATGCTACCACACCCAGCTAATTTTTTTTAATTTTAGTAGAGATGGGGTTTCACAATGTTGGCCAGGCTGATCTCAAACTGACCTTGTGATCTGCCTGCCTCAGCCTCCCAAAGTGCTGGAATTACAGGCATGAGCCACCGCGCCCGGATGAAT